AGAATCTTAATAAAGTACTAGCGTAACTGCTTAAGGTTAAAAAAAAAAAAAAAAAAAAAAAAAAAAAAAAAAAAAAATATTACTATATATATTATTATTATATACAACCTATTTATATATTAATTTGCATATATTTTTTTTTACAAATTGTTTTAATTAAAAGGAGTATAGTAACTTAGTGAAGTGGTTAAGTTGTCAACTTTCAAGTAGCAGGTCTAAATAGGAATTAGAATTAGTTTAGTTAACTAAAAATTTTATATAATAAACTACTATGTTTAGTTAACTAATTAGTTAACTAAATATAATAATTAACTAAACTGATTCTATTTTCTAGATCTAAAGTTCAAATCCTATAAATAACAAATTTTAAAAAATATATCTGTATTATAGTAACTATTTCTGTTAATCAGTTGAATTAGTATATCTGTAACTTTCAGTTACATTATTTTTAATAAGAACTTAGAGCATTTATATAAAATATAATGTTATATCTACATAAAGAAATGTTAATAACTGATGTTGTATAAGACTTTAGTACAAATTTACGATAATACCACCAGGTGTAGAAAGTGAAGAAACCAAAGAGTCAGAAACTTACTTGGAAATATCAAGTAAAAAAGTAGCACAAAACTTTTAATAGTGCTGTTGAACTGATAGAAGTCTATAAAACATACTTAAAAGAATAAACAGATAAACTAAATAGCAAGATATATAAAGGAGCATATGATTAATCAGGCTACCAGAATCACTAGAAGAAAAAAATACTAAGGTATATTACACTAGGCTATTTTGATTGAAAGTTGAAGAGTTCTATCAGTTCTGAATAACAGTTAGTAGTAGATAATGAAGAAGATATCAAAAAAATAAGTACTAAGGTTTTGGATAAATCTTATAAAGATATAGTAATTTAATAGTTAATTCTAACTGCAAGTAATAGTTTAGATCAAAAATGATACCAGGTGAGTTGTAAATATAAAATACAGAACACTCTAGTAGGTTTAGTATAAAGTTAAATATGACTTAGTGATTATAGCATATCTTTATTAGTTTACCAAAATTGTTAATAAAGTATGATGGATACAGAATTAGAGTATTTAAATAAAGAATCTACAGATAGGTCCTAGATATAACAACTAGTATAAAACCTTTGAGTAAACTACTTAAATTTTTTTTTTTTTTTTTTTTTTTTTTTAAGGTCATACTTGTAGTGATACTTTATTGACTTTATATCAGATTAGCTATTACAACTATTTTTACAGAGATGAGAGTACAGTTAGTCACATATGCAACTTTTGGTTGCCTATTTAAGTAGTCTGCCCTAAGGTTCTACACTAGATGCCATACCTATAACCTACTAGGAGATTATTTATTTAAACCCTCTGATCATCCACCTTGTCATATTAAAATTCCCAACTAACCTCCTATATATACCTAACCTGTATATCATCTGAGCAGTATGGTATCTATCCTTTTTGTACTAGTTCTCAGGCTGTTATACATTTCAGAGTATGTTACTTACTAGTAAGGTGCAGGAGGCCTCTTGTTGTTAACTATTTACCTACTTTTAGAACACTAACACAGGCTACTTTTGCAGAGTTCACTCAGACCCCAGTACAAACTTTACAGCATATCCCTAGTACTTTTAGTATACCTCTGCTTTGAACCCAAACTCCCAATTCAGATAGCCTGAAAGGACTGTGATCTGTTCTTGGTATATTGAGGCCAGTCTAATATCTTTTTTCTCTGATCTGAAATCTGGTGGCCTGGTTGGTGGTACCTCTCATCTGAGGTTCTTGCTCACCCAAATCCTTTACATTGGTATCTATTTCCTAGGTCTAGCCTTTACAGTAGTACTATCGAAGATCTATGTTACCTCTCTACTCGGAATTTTCAAGTAGGCTCCAGCTTCCCAGTTCTACAAATTTATATAGCCTGAGAACTTATTTTAGGTTTGCATTGCCCAATACTGGTTTGCATTCATCTGTGTAACAGGTTACACAGATGCTCTAGACCTGCTAGTCATGCTGATGTGACTATAGTTACAGGTATCCTATCTCAACTGATTAACAGAATGCTATTGCCGTAATATCGTCTATATATTATATAGGTGATTATTCAAATTTTGCTGTCAGTGAGTTTTGAACTCACTACCTACTACTTGGAGATATGATCAGTGTTGGAAATTACATGTTCACAGTGTTCACAGTGAACATAGATTATTTAATAAAATTAATGTTTTTGTGTTTTATGTTCATGTAATATGAACACAAATTTTAATTTTAATGATTTCTTATTTATAATTTATTGATATAAGGTTCACATTTATATTAATATTAGAAAATGCCTGTGCCAAAGGCACAGGTTAAGGTTTATTTAAAATTATATGCTTTGCAACTTCACAATCTCTATATAATTACATAATTTGCCTATTCCTAAGTAAAAGCCTAAATTTGCACTTACAGGTTTTCACTCTGCAGCACTTATATCATTTAATAGTCATTATGCTTACCCACTAAATTAATGTAAGCAAACTAATTTAAATGAAATATAATATGTTTATGAGCTTGATAATTAGTAATAGATTGATTTAACTAATAATCATTATACTCAATGCATACTCAATAAGGATTGAAACAGTTTAACTGTATAACAATAACAATAGTCTCATATTTTTAGTCAAAACTATCAAGAATAGTATATATGTATATTGTAATATTTATATAAGTTGAATTAAAATCAAAATAGCATATAACTTGTTTTTAATATTTAGAGCCCTATTGTATTTATTAATTACCTCTGCATTTTAGTCAAGCAGATATAATCAGTCAATCAAAATGCCTATTCATCACTATGCCTTATCTCTAAGTGCTTTATCCTCTGTCTTTCCTTATTATAAACATGATTGATTTGCTAAGTTAAAATCTGCAAGTTGTGTTTTTATACATTTGATAATTTATAATAGTGTTATTTAATGCTATTAGAAACTAAATCCCAGAAGGTGAAAACTATTAATTGCATAAAACATGACTTATAGGTTTTAACTTGACAGCACTTATATGACAATCATAATATTATTACTCATTTTCTTGTCAACAGAATTCATTAAGCATTACTTTTCTATTTATTACTTATATATTAAACTAGGCAGTAAGAATAGAATTTGTATTAATAAACTGAACTACTCATTTTATTGTTACTAGAGTTCTTTACTAATATTACTTCTCTGGTTCTTTATTTATACTTAAACTAAGAAGCAAGTATAAAGTTAATTTTTAAAATGAATTATTCCTTTTATCATCAATAGAATTCACTATTAAATATTGCTTTTTTGTTCATTTACTTATGTGTTAAACTAGATAATAAGTATAGACTTCTGGACTTCACTTATAAAATAAACTACCTATTTTATTATCAATAGAATTTTCTATTAAGAATTACTTTTCTATTTATTCACTAATGTGTTTAACTAGATGGTTAAGTATTTCTATTAGCATGTAGTTTATTTACTTCATGAAAATATTTAAATTGCTAATGGCATAAAAACTATTAATTAATATACATATAAAGAAAATATGAAAATTATAACAGTATAAGACTTTTATGCCTGATGTCATATGTATAATCTGAAATAACCATTAAAGAAAGAAGAAATCAGGTATAAATGTTTTATATCTGTTTCTTTGTTATCTTGCTTGACATACTAAGCATTGGTTTATTTAGTGTTTAGTATTATTATTGAGTATTGTTTTAAAGCCTGATAAACTGTAACTATTTTGAAGTATTATCAAGTACCCAATGTATTGTGGTTAAATATAAAGTATTGATTGAATCAACAGATAAAAAGAAGTTAAGTATTATTAAGATAACCCTTATATATCAGGTGATATTCAAATATATAATGAAATATGTCTGTATATTTGTAGAGCATAGTTTGCCTCTAACAGTAGAATTAATATTAATATAGCAAAACAGCCATACATACAATGTAAACAAAGGTTTGGATAAAAATAGCCCTTGCATATATTTTGAGTTTTCGCAAGTGAAATAATTTTTAGATTACAATTATATATACATACAGTGCTAAAAAAAAGTATAATTTGTTATGCTTTATGGAAAATATAATCAATCACATTTTAATTTACATTAAAAATTATTAACTAATAAATATAATAAATGACAATATTTTCTATAAAGCATATTAAATTATACTTTTTTTAGTACTATATATATAACCAAATGTTTCACCAATATTAGTACAATGAATCTTCATAATTAAGTTTTAGTCCTGCTATTACTATTGTATTTAACAATCTATTTAGAGCTATCATTGACTAATCTGAGTTTTTTTTTTAGCTTCAAAGTTTTATAAAGTTATGACTTTTTTCTATAATTTCAACTTATTATTATATATAAACAAACTCAAGCCAGAAAAAAGCTAAATAAGTTGATAGCAGTCTTAATTCTCTTTTCCTTTTTAAGATTTTGAGTAATTTGCAGCCTATCTTTTTTTTCTCGTAACTATTTTAAACTTTTAGCTTAAATTTTGGCTACTAGTTTTATTTGATTGTTTATTAACTTATGCTTTTCCTTAATGAATTTGCCAAAGGTGTTTGATATATTAAATGAGTTTAAGCAAAAATTAGTAATTAGCAAACAGATGCATTTTTATATAGAACTGAAACATATATAACTTACAAATTTTGTATTTAATAATAATAAAGAATAAAAAATTCAAATATCATTAAATATGTATGTAACAAGAATTTGGGTCAGTATATTGCTGATATAAAGCTTTTGATTCTCTAAAATAATAAGTATATAAATAAAATGAATAAATAAAATAAATTAATATACATACTAAATGTTTGTCAATCATCATTAAAATGATTGGCTATTTATTGTTAGCTGCAGAATTACTCTTAAATTAGTATTAAAGCATGTTTATAATGTTTTTTTTTTATTAGAAATTTAACTATTTTCTTCTTTTTTATAATGCTACATAAAGGAAACAAGTTGCCCAACCTACTACTACAAATCCTTTTACGATTGCAGCACAGACAAAAAAATAATATAGATATATATTAATGGATAGTAATGATAAAAAAAATACTATAAATACTACAAGTTCTCTAAATAATAATTATGAAAATTTTCAATCTAAATCACCACATTTATTAAGAGAAAACCTTAAATTTAATCAAACTTGGTTGATTACATATCTTTAGTTACGTATTAAAGAAAAAAAAAATAAAAAATTCATGTTTTGTAAATAGTATAAAGCTGCTAAATATACAAATATATTTGTAGCAAAGTGTGACAACTTTAAAGAACAATCACTCAAATGGCACCTTGATACTAAAGATCACCAGAAAACTTTAAAAACACAATCAGTAGCACAATTAAACATAGTTATTAGTTTTACAAAACAGTTTGAAATTGATAAACTTCGTATTATATAAAATATGATTAATATGTATTAGTTAATTTAACATAATATAGCTACACATTCAATTACTAATCTTTGTAGTCTTATTGATCAACAACTTCAAAATACTCAAGAATTTCATATATCATCAAATATTAATGTTTTAAAAAATCCTTTGGCATTACAAGCTATAGAATTAACAAGAAGTGATTATAGTTCTTATACTAATAATCATACTAGAAAAGACTTTATTGAAGTGATTGGAAAAGTAATTGAAGAAAAGATTTGCCATGAGATTCATAAATCATCAGTATGGAGTTTAATGATTAATGAAAGCAATACAGTTACTAAAGAAAAAACCTTAGCTATTGTATCCAAACATATTGTTTCTAATATTCCAGTAAACCAATTTGTTGGATTAATTGAATTAAAAAATTGTAGCACTAATGGAATTATAGAAGAATTAAATAAATTTTTTAAAGTCAAAAATCTTCCAATCTTAACATTAGGTCATTTTGGTAGTGATGGAGCATCAGTTATGCTAGGTAATTAATATATTCTATTTGGTTTTATGTTTTAAAAAGTTTAAATTAAATTAAATTATATTAAATAGGTTGTTTAAATGATATTGCAACACAATTAAAAAGTCAAAGCCTATTTCTTACAGAACATCATTGTATCTTACACTGTTTGGCTCTTGCATATGAAGATGCTGCTGAAAGAATTCCATATATATATACATACAACAAACTTGTTGGAAATCTTTATACTTATTTCAGTCACTCTTATGATTAAATGAAAACTTTAAAAATGATAGAAAAACAATTAAATAATCCTAATTTGCACTTATTGCATATTATCAAAACATGTTAGCTTTCTTTATCAAATGTTGTATCAAATTTACATCATATATTAGATTCAGTTGTTGGTGCTTTATATTTAGATTCTAATACTGACAAAGTAGCACAATTATTATTTGATTCTATTGATTAAACATTTTATATAACAACATATTTTTTAGCAGATATTCTTGGAAATTTATGATGATTAATGTTAAGTTTTCAATCAGATCATATTTTTCTTATAGAGATTAAAATGCAAATTGCAACTGTTATTCAAACAATTACTGAAAGTTTTATTGAGACTGATAATTCTTTGCCAACTTGGGGCTATCATTTGCACACATATCTTCAGACTAGAAATTTTACTTCAAAATATGTTTCTAATTTTATATAACAATTTGCAATTGCTACAATTGAAAATCTTAATAGATGTTTTCCTAATCATGAAATTTTAAATGCATTTTACATTTTTGATTCACAAAACTTATTAGAAAAGAAATTATTATCAGATTATAGAAATAATGAAATTTATATTCTTGCTAAATATTATGAGATAGAAAAAACTAGTAAAGGTATATTATATGATTTTATTTAAATTAAACATATTATTAAATTTTATTTATATAAAAGTTTAAATTTAGAAATTATATTTTTACCTCTTATTAATGCTGAAAATTTAATTAAAGAATAAAATTATGTTCATATATTACTTAAAAACTTTACATCACTAAAATTTTTAGAAGCTTGTAAAGTTCTATATTAAAAAATTCTAAATTTTTCTATTCTTTATTCCAATTCTGATAAAATTGTTGCATTATTTTTTATACTTCCACTTTCTAATGCTATAGTAGAATGTATATTTTTACATCAAAATTTAATCAAAACCAAATTTAGAAATAGAATGCATATTAATACTCTTAATTATCTTTTATCAATTTCTATAAATAGTCTACCTATAAATAAATTTGATTTTGAATATGAAACTTGGACAAGTTTTTCATATAGATATAATAGTTAATATATTTTTACAAATAGATATATAATAGATTTACAAATAAATATATT